CTAATCAGGATATCACGGGGCACATTGTTAAAAGCTTTGCTGAAGTCAAGATATACTACGCCTACAGCATTCCTTCTGTCTTTCAGGGAGGCTACTAGATCAAAAAATGAGATCAAATTAGTTTACCAGGATTTGTTCTTGACAAATCCATGTTGGCTTCTACAGTGGGGTCTCTACTTAAGAACTTAATCCGTATTGGAAGGTGGTTCTCAAGTTGAAAAGTTCTTATGTTGAATCTGCATTTCCCATAGGAATGCATTGAAAACCATTTAATCCGTATCTGCTCTTTTCCGTCCAAGGAAACTACAGTGGAACCTCTACTTAAGAACTTAATCCGTTTTGGAATGGTGTTCTTAAGTTGAAACGTTCTTAAGTTGAAGCAAAATTTCCCATAGGAATGGACTGAAAACCAATTAATCCGTTCTGGATGGGTTTTTTTTTGTTATGTAGAGGTGCGTTCGTACATTGAAGCTGGTTAATACGGACTCTACCACTAGGGGGAGAATTTTTTTTTAACCTAAGATGACCTTAAAAAAAGAGCAGGAAAGGTTTTTTTTCCTGTTCTTATCTTGGATTTCTGTTCTCAAGTAGAAACAAAATTTAGCAAATGGAGCTGTTCTTAAGTTGGATTGTTCTTAAGTAGAGACGTTCTTAAGTAGAGACCCCACTGTATTACTGCATAGTTTTCTAGGTGCTTTCACAATGACTACTTTACGATCTGTTCCAGAAATTTGCCTGCGACTGATGTCAGGCTGACTGGCCTGTAGTTCCCAGGCTCCTCTTTTTTGCCATTTTTGAAGATAGGGACAGCATTAGACCTCCTCCAATCCTCTGGCAACTCACCCATTTCCCATGATTTCAAGAAAATAATGGATAGCGGTTTTGAAAGTTCTTCAGCCAGTTCTTTCAGTAGTCATATCACTTAGCTGCACAACAAAATTTGGAAGCCACCTTGGGTTGCAATGAAATTGAACACATTTCTTATTTGTCTTCCATAAAAACATATACGTATGTTCAATCCTAACACTTCCCTTTAAAAAAGAGTAATTGGAGAATACAGTATGCAAACACAATTTGCACAAAACCAATACCAAAGAAATTTTCTAATTAAAAAAGCTGATTAAACTAAAGACACTGTTCTGTTTTTACAGAATCAACTACACCAAGTACAACAACATGTGTCCACTTAATATGTGAATGGACAGAATGGTATGATGTCACCTACCCAAAGTATGGACCAAATAATGGGGATTATGAAACACCAGAAAAAATAAGAGCGAGAGGACACAATGTATGCAAAATTCCAGATGATGTGGAATGCAGGGCTCAAAGTTTTCCCACTGAGAAGTTGGAATCCCTCGGTCAGAAGATAACATGCACAAAGACAAATGGTTTGATCTGTAATAACAAAGATCAGGATCCACCAATCTGTTACAATTACGAGATCAGGTTCTTTTGTTGTGAATTTGCACCCTGTGGAGTCCAAACAACTGTTCCATTCACTACAACTACTACAGAAACAACAACAAAATCAGACATTACAAAAAGTGAAACAACGCATATGCCAACCGTTGGGCAGTCAACAAGCGAACAACCTCCAACGCAAACAATAGGAATACAAACCTCAGCTACAACAATACCAATAACTCCACTTGAAGGTTCAACAATGACAACATCTCATATATCCAAGACACAGTTACCTACAACAACAGAAAGTACCCCTGAGGTACCT